ATTTAGTAACGTAAAAATGAATGCGTGAAATGATAATTATGGAATTCAAGACAGTGACGGCCCCTGGGGAGAGCAGTGGGATGGAGGAGGAATATCAGGGGATTTCAAATGCATCTGTAACTTTTAAAATTGTGGTGAAATATATATAAAACACAAAATTTGTCATTTTAATCATTTTTAGGTGTAGCATTCAGTGGCATTAATTACATTCCCAATATTGTCAACTATCACTGCTCTCTGTTTCTAAAACTTCCTTCGTTGCCCCAAGCAGGAAGTCTGTGCCCATTAAGCTCCCCATTCCCCTCACCCCAGACCCTGGTAACCTCTAATCTACTTTCTGTCTTTATAAATTTGCCTATTCTAGACATTTCCTACAAGGAAAGTCATATAATTGTTGCGCTTTTGTGTCTATCTTCTTTCACGTAACATGTTTTCAACTTTCATCCAGGTTGTAGCATAGAGCAGAACTCATTACTTTTCAGGGCTGAATAATATCCCATCGTATGGATATGCCACATTTTGTTTCTCCATTCATCTCTTGGTAGACATGTGAGTTGTTTCCCTTTTGGCTGTTGTGAATGATGCTGCAATGAACATTAGTGTACAAGTATCTGTTTGAGTCCCTGCTTTTGGGTGTGTACCTAGGAGTGGAATTGCTGTGTCATATGGTAATTCTATGTTTAGCTTTTTGAGAAACCTGAAATGTTTTGGTTTTAGGCTGGCTTGTGGGTCTTTATGTTATACTCTAGGCTTTTTCTCTATGACTGAAATATTTTATAAATTTCAAAAGTAGAATGAGTTGGGCTTCCCTGGTGGCACAGTGTTTAAGAACCGCCTGCCAATGCAGGGGACAAGGGTTCGAGCCCTGGTCTGGGAAGATCCCACATGCCACGGATCAACTAAGCCTGTGCGCCACAACTACTGAGCCTGCGCTCTAGAGCCCGCGAGCCACAACTAGAGAAAAGCCCGCACACAGCAACGAAGACCCAACGCAGCCAAAAATTAAATAACTAAATAAATAAAGTAGAATGAGTTAAAATTGGAAGCCACCATTTGCATTGTTAATATCTTCTGAACTGCATCATAATTCAAAGCTCTTTGAGGGAACATACGTGGCTATTGGCTCTCAGTTTCAAAACGGCCAGTTAGAGCTCCTGCCCATTCTAGCCCATTCATAATGCAGAAACGTTCACACCACTCTAGAAGACGCTCGAACCAGCCCCTGGGCTCCAGCAGTCCCCAGGCCCTTTAGGGTGGGGGCAGAGGGTGCTGCCTCATCCTTGCTGTCATCTAAGCCTCAGGCTGCACACCCTGTCCTTCAGCAGGTTACTTCTGGAGCTTCCCCTAAGCATTCAGCATTATCCCTCCCGGGCATCTGATCTCCAGCCAGAGGCAGCCTGATCCTGGGCTAAGCCCCTCCTGCCAGGTGAGCTTCTCACCTCGGCCTCTTTCCAATCCGGCAGCCCAGACCATGGCCTGTGTGGAGAGGGAGAGAGAGCCGTAGTCCCTCCACTCAGCCCCTGGGTGTAAGTCCTGGGTCAGCCTCCCGTGACCTTGGGCCAGGTCCTCCATCTCCAGGCCTCAGAAAGTGGGAGTTGTGGGTGCTGACAGACCTGTGGTCTGTAAACCACTGAACAGGTGTCCCAGGAGGAAAAGGAGACGAGCATCTCTTTGAGCCATTTAGCCCATCACGACAGCTCCAAGAACATTTGACATCTGTGAAATAACATCATTAGGTAAGTGTTAACTTTTCCCCACTGGTAGGCCCAGTGCTAGTAAATGTACTGTGACGAGTATAATGTGTTTATGAAATGTGTATAATAAATTATCAGAAAGAGCTACATTTTTAATATTGCTTAATATATCCAGTTTGCCTCTCAGCAGCCATAGGCTATATGGCAACTGCTTCCATCGACTCATTGTGCATCAACTTACACGCTTTCAGGCTGAGGCCCCAGCATGGGCTGAGGAAGAGGCAGGGGGCGGCCAGAGTGGATGGCTCCCCTGTCCCTTCCTGATTTGCTCCCTGTCATCTGGAATCGAAAGAAAAATGGGGCTTTGTTCACCATCAGGCCCCCTGCGGGACGCAGCCTGGAGCCTGTGTCACAGGGTAGGTGCTCAATAAATACTTGTTACGGTGTGGATTCTTAGAGAAATGAATGGACAAGGGCCCCCAGAAGGCCCCTCTCCATCAAACAGCAAGTGCTTGGAATTTTTCCATCAGCCCCTGGTTTGGGTTAAAATTTCCTATCAATACAGAGAAACTTCTATCAGCACAGCAAGCCCAGAGCTCCTCCAGTAATCAGGGAAGGGTGGAGACTGGGGGTACACGTTAGACCAGGGCCAGGGAGGGTCCTTCCTCCCAGGGCACACGGACACCAGCCAGAGATGCCAACCAAGGACGTCCAGCCAAGTGCAGGGTAGAGGTCATTTCCTCTAAATGCCTCTCACCTACTGGCCGCTCTCAGCCAGGAAAGAAGTCACAATGCCTGATGTGGGGTGTTTCAGACTCCCTGTTGGGTGTTGGCCTCAGATACGCCACGTGTTTCTCCAGTGGTCATCCTGGCATTCACTGACTGGATGCTCTGAGGCTGGGCCCACCACTCCCACTTCTTCCAGGCCCTCCCTAGAGCCAGCACCTGCAGAGCCAAGAGCTGGGGGCTGCTCTTCCAGAAAGCCAGACCCACAGAAAGTCAAGAAGCCAGGAGGAAGTGATCAGCCCCCTCTGTCCCCATTCCCAGTGAACTCACGGGTAGAGCCTTGCCATCAAAGGGGCACAGGGTCAGGATATCCAGGCTCTCATTCCCAGTCACTATACCTCCTGAAGCTTCAGTTTCCCCATCTGTAAGAGGGTGACAACACTCTCGTGCTTCTCAAGTGAATGAATTATGAAATGATGGTTCAGCGCCTGTATTTTAGTACCCTGTGTCATTCCATAATTGCTTTGTGATGCAGCCACCTCTAGCACAGAAGATGTCACTCTGTGCCTATTTAAGGACTAAGCCCCTTAAGCATTCCTGGAAATGGGATACCCACTCACTGTGTTAGGCTTCCAGGCTCTCCTGTCCCTCCCTTGGCCTTTGACTCTTAGGCTGAATTTCTCTCCTACCAGGATCCCAGATGGTCCTTAGGGAGCCCCCAGGCTGGTTCATTCCTACTGTAACCCCTAAGACCCTTGGCCCCCTCTCTCTTCCTCCTCAGTTTGGGCTGTCCCCAGCCAAGAAGCCTCAAGAAGAGCTCTGGGGAGCAAGATTTTACCTGTGTTTCCAGCTCTGCTCTCTAGGGGTGAGAAGGGAGAGGCGGGGATGGGGGCAGTGGAAGCCTCCAGAAAGTCAGGACCCCAGCTCTGCCACCAGCCAGCAGTCACCTGGGCAAGTCACTGTGTCTGAGCTTTAGTTTCCTCGTCTGCAAAATGGGAACATTGTACCCTGCCTACATCGCGGGGTGATAGAAGGCATCAGTGAGATAACAGCTGTTGAAGGCTCTTGACAGAGTATACCGTAGGTTTCAAGGGTGGGTGGTGACCTTCACCATCCATTTCAGGACTTGTCGTGCAACAACATGCGGATCTCCATCACGTCTCACCAATGAGTCTCATCTCCCGAAGGGAAGGGGGAAGGGAAAGCCGATGCTGGTGAGCACCTCTTACCTGCCATGCTCTGTGCTAGATGCGGCCTCCCCACGATGCTGTGAGGTTGGAAGTAGCCCCATTTCACAGCTGAGGAAACTGAGGTTCAGGGAGACCCAATGATCTGCCAGAATGATGCAACTGGAAGTGATGAAGGTGAGGCCTCCTCTCTCTTCTCTCTGCTCTCCACACCTCCACAGGGGTTATGGTGGGTGGAGGGGCACAGGCTTGGGGTCCTGTGTTCAGTTTTCCTGGAAGGGACCCAGCCAAGAAGATAAGCATTTCTGATGTTCAGTGGGAACCAGAGAGTGAACAGGATTCTGTCTGTGCCCAGGGCTTTCTGGGGACACACCTGTATAAGCAGCAGCCGTTCCCAACAGAGCGTTGTTCCCGGGAAAGCAGGACAGCAGCCAGGGCTGGGCATTTGTTTGGTTATCCGATCATGTGGGAAGCCTGAGCCTGTGGGCTGGCCACACCCTGCCGTTCCACCTCTGCCTCGCTCATCATTCCCTGGGGATGCCCACCCTGCCTGCCCTCATCCTCTCCTGACCACGGCTTATGGTCAAGGTCCTCACCCACCCTGTCCCCATGGGGGGCGGGCGGGGGCTGGGTCACTCAACCTACTCAAGCACCAAGTGAGAGACTGACTTCTGGTTACAGAGAGTGTGTTTGTATGTGACCTGAGAGGAAGGGTGAACAGACTGTGCCAATAGTGACCTTGTACAGCTGTGGATGTCTTGCTCGTGTGTGAGCATCCTGTCCGGCACTCCTAGGAGTGTGGCTGTGTGTCCTGCTAGATTGGGGGTTGGGAGGTGCCTTGAGTCCCCTGATCACTTTTTGGGTGTGTTCGTATGTCCTGTTAGGTGTGCTGGGGACAGGGGTGCCCTGGGTCCCCTGACCACCTCGACGAGTGCTGTTTGTGTGTACTGTTAGGGATGTGTGTGTACTGGGGGATATACGGTGCCACCGCAGCCTCAGGCAACTCCGTACAGGTACGTGTGCCCTGCAGGTGGGAGCAGTGGGAGCTTCCGCCCAGTTCTGCACACGTTTCTGTGCGCTGGAAGTGTCCTTGCACACCGGTATGTGTCCTGTGTGAACGGAGCCCAGAAAGTGCGGGCACGCGCGGGAAGGTGCGGGTCCCTGCTCGGCTCCCCGCCGGTCCTGCGGTGCGTGAGTGGAAGGCGCCCGGTGGCCCTGCCCGCCGGGTGTGCGCGCGCGGGGTCCCGGGCCGGCGTGCGCGCCGGTGTGAGCGCGAGTGAGTGCGGCGCCGCTCAGCTCGCTCCGCGCCGCGCCGCCCTCGCCGCCCGCACTCTCGCACTGCTCGGCGGCTGCCGGTGACGCGAGCTGGGCCCGCCCCCTGCCTGCCGGCCCCTGGCACTCACTCGCGCCGTCCGCCGCCGAGCAGGCAGCAGCCGCGTCAGGGCCGTCCGGGGGCGCTGCCGGCGATGCCCGCAGCCCCCGCCGCTCCCAGCCGAGCCTGCTGAGCCGCCCCCGGGCCGGGGCCGCGCCGAGTCTGGCCGGGCCGCGCCCGGGCGGGGCCGCGCTGCCTGCATGACCCTCCGGCGGCGCGGGAAGAAGGCGACCATCAGCATCCAGGAGCATATGGCCATCGACGTGTGCCCCGGCCCCATCCGGCCCATCAAGCAGATCTCCGACTACTTCCCCCGCTTCCCGCGGGGCCTGCCGCCGGACGCCGGGCCTCGCGCCGCTGCACCCCCGGACGCCCCCGCGCGCCCTGCCGCGGCCAGCGCGGGCCGCCGCAGCCCCTCCGACGGCGCCCGCGACGACGACGAGGATGTCGACCAGCTGTTTGGAGCCTACGGCGCCAGCCCCGGCCCCGGCCCCGGCCGCAGCACGGCGCGACCGCCTGCCAAGCTGCCCGAGGACGAGCCGGACGCCGACGGCTACGAGTCCGACGACTGCAGTAAGTTTCCCACCCGCCGGCTTCTCGCCCCCGCCCCTGCGCGGCTGCTCTCGCTCCCGACCTCGCCCGCCCTCGGATCCCCTGCCGTCTCGGTTCCCCCGGCACACCCCTCGCTGTGTCGCTGCCCCCGGCCGCGCTGTACGCTCTCCGCGCGCCCGGCACACACAGCCCCGACACCGCCCCCGAGCAGATCGGAGAGGTGGGAAGTTTGGGGGCCCCCCGGGGGTGTCCCATTTCCGGGGCCCAGCTCCCCGGAGCCCGCGCCGCGCCCCCTCTCGGCCCGCCCGCCGGGAGCCCCGGCGCGGGCGGCGGCTTTTGTTCCCAGGCAGGGCGGAGCTGCGCCCCGGGGAGACACCAGTTGCTGCTGGCCGCGTGGTCGCTCCCCTCTCCGGAGCCCGCGGCGGACCGGCCCCTCGGCCGAGGGTCGGGCTGGGCGAGAAGAAGAGGGCGCCCGGGGCCCGGGCCGGACGGCCTCCCTGGTGGGGCCGGAGGCCGCAGAGCGCGGCGGCTTGGCTGGCGTGGGGGCCGAGGACCAGGGGACCGCGGGGCCGCTTGTCCTTTGGAGAAACCTTGGTGATTCCTCCTCCCGCGTCCGTTGGTCCCGCCGCTGCGCTCGACCGGGCCGCCGACCTTCGCCCACCTGTTAACACCCGCTTCCCCGGCCGGGAAGGGTCCCCCACCCCAGCCCGCGCCTCCTCCTCCGGGGCTGAGCCCCGAGCCCCAGGGATTAGGCAAGCGCCAGGGCTCCCGGGGCCTCCGGGGCCGAGGCCCGGCCGGCTGGCGCTCCTGGCGCCTTTCTGGACTCTGAGAGTGCCCGCGCCGGGACTGGAGGGGAAACCGAGAACGAAGAGGTCGCCGGGCGGTGCGGGATGGGTTTACGCGGGATTGGGGTGGGGATGGGGGCAGCGCTGCTCGCCAGGCCCCCAGCCCAGCTGTAGCCCCAGCCGCGTGACTCTCAGAGCTGGAAAACCCGAGTCAGACGCCGGTCCTGCCTGGGAGGTGGACCTTTCCCGGGGCAGGGGTCGCTCGCCGACTTCCCCCAGGCTCGCCGGGTCCCATCCCCCGCGCAGCGCAGCGAGGGTGGCTGCGTCTGGCTTGAATGCCCACACGGGCCTCAGGCTGGGGGTCTGGAGTTTCCCCCAGAATAAAATGTGCCCCTGGAAGCTGACAGTGGGGGTGACCACTGCGGGAAGAGGTGGGGCCCGACCTCTCATCACCCTACCTAGGGAGGCCCAGGAGGTGCAAGTGGGAGGAGGCCTGTCAGACCGTGGGTCGCTCGGAGCCGGGCCTGTGCTGGGAAGCTGCCTGCTCTGCACTTTCTCGGGCCTGGACCACAGCCCTCTGGCCGAAGTCTGGCGTCCCTCCACTTTCCTGCCGGCCTGGGGAAACGGTCGGGAGAGCTTATTGCCCTCCAGGCTGTGCCCTTAATCTTCACACACACCCCCCAGCTCCTGGCACCCTGGGCAAGGTGCACCCCCTCACTTGCTGTGCCTTTGGGCAGGCCCTAACTGAGACCCAGGTCACCCCTTTGCATGCCCTGAATCTTCAGCCAGCTCCAGAAGAAGGGGTGAGGAACTTGTTCCCATTTCCAGCCTCTTTCCTGCTATGCCAAGGGAGCAAGCGAGCAGGGCAGGGCTTCTGCCTGGGCTTCAGGCCCTCCTGGTGCCACCCAGGGCCCTCTGATGACATACGGCTAAGAGGTGAGAAATCTGGTTGTTTCTTTTGGCTGTCCCTGAACCCACAGGCAAGGAGGGGACCCGAAAGTGCCCCATCTTCAGTCCATCAACTCAGCAGTCCTTCACAGAACACTCTCCTAGCAGCACAGAGGGAACAGGGCTGGGGCCCCGGACCCAGAGAGCTCACTGTCCTGCCAGGGGACAGATGCACTTGAGGTCAGCGGTACAAGGTCTGACACAGCCTTGCCAGCCTGAACCGTGGGCTGGCCACACCCATGTCACCAGGGCAGTCTGCTGAAAAGAGCCAAGGAGGACGATGTGTGGCTGAGCCAGGGCCAGCTTGGCCCCCTCATTCCCTTCAAGGGGCAGCCACCCTGGGCTTAGACCCCCTCAGCGGCCGAACAAACATCCCACCATGGGAGCACGGAAATCTTGGCTCCTGCCCATGGGGGGACCAGGTTCCGGGGTGGAACCGCTCTCTGCCCAATACTCCAGGCTTTACGCCCATCCCAGCTCTGACAACCAGATCCCTACAATAAGCCTAAATGATTCAAGCCAGATGGTTCATTACAGCTTTAGCCAGGGTTATGCTATTTGCTGCCCTAATTATTGGATTATGTCTGTTCTAACAAAAAGAAATTAGGACGGTTGCTCTGTTGTCCAAGGCCGAGAGTGAAGTGCTGTTTATTTATTCGGCCTTTTTTTTCCTTCTCTTTAAAGCCCATCACCTCAAGGCATAAGCACAAAATTGACAGGTTCCAAATTGATCTAACAGAGGAGCGCTGATGGGGAGAAGATGCAGAAACATTATAGTTAGAAGTGTCCCCCCAGTGCCCTTCCCCTCCCAGTGGTCCACAGCGCAGCCTGGCTAACCTGGACTCCGCTGCTTGCTGCCCTCCTGATGGGTCCTATGTCCCACCCTCCGCATGTGCTGCTCCCCTGCCTGAGATGCCCTCCCACCCAATCTCCACCTGTGGAAACAGTCCATTCTTCAAAGCTGTAACGACTAGGATATTTGGGGGTTGTAGGTGACAGAAAAAAATTCAGAGTGCCTTAAACAGTGAGGGGTGTCGAGGTCATGGGGCACTGGGGTAGATTCATGCAGCCGCTCGTCAGCAGCATCAGTGGTGATGGTTCTGTCTTTCCACATGGCCATGCCCTTTTCCTCTTAGGCTGACCTCCCTCATGGTTCAAGGTGGCTGCTGCAGGTCCAGACATCACATGTAACAGTAAGATCCTAAATTTGATAAGGATCAGTTTCCTCTCCCATGTCTCAGTTTAAAAGTGAGGGAGCCTCTCCCAGAAGTCCCCAGGAGATCTGTCCTTCTGTCTCGTTGGCCAGAATTACATCTCTTGCCCATGCTTACACCTGCCCCTGCATGATTCACCCTGGGCTAGGTCAGGACTGATCCCCACAGAGGCCTGGAGCAAGGATGGAGGGGAGGAATCGCTGTTAGGCCTGCCCAGAAGTCCCTCGGCTCGAATAATTTCCCTGTACCCACTGGCTGTGATTCCCTTTCCTTGGAGCCAAGTCATATTCTACCCGGACCGTATTTCTATGCACTTAACCTTCTAAGACCAACTAGGTGTCGGGCACTATGCTGAGTGTGGAGGTTCCAGAATGCCTGAGACACGATCTCTGCCATCAGGGAGTTCATGGAAACCGTGACACACAAGTAGCCCAGCAGTGAGGACAGGGAGTCAGGAGCCCAGATGGGAAGCACCGGCTTGCACAGAGTTCCCCCACAGAGAGGGCGCTCTGAGGCTGGGAGGAGGGGGGACGCAGCCTGGCTTAGTGCAAGGAGGAAGAGTCGAGTGGCTGGAGCAAGGGGAAAAGGCCCCTGATGGTAAGGCCGAAGCGGTCATATCACAGAGGGCCTTGAATGCCACACCGAGGAGGTTGAACTGAGTCCAGGTGGCAGTGGAAATTTTTTGAACAATGTAAAGCAGGGAAATGAATAGGTTTATAAAAGTCCTAACCCTCTGCCTCTGAGCTCCCGAGAAGCAGGGCTATATGATGTGTGGCTCATTCCTCTTTGTACCCCCTGCAGCGCCTGGTCAGCGCCTCAGTTTCTCCAACTATGAAATGCTTTCGACGCAGGCTTGATCATTTTCTGTGGTTCTTGCCATGGTTTTTTTTTTGTTGTTGTTGTTGTTTTTAAACTATTTCAGAGGCTGACATTTTTCTTAAAAAAACAAAACAAAACAAAACCAGGGCTGGTTTCCTACTCCCAAGGGTGTACGGGCGAGGAAGGTCCAGGTGCAAACCAAGGTCAAAATGATGCTGTCAGTCTCCATCAGCAGAGCAGAGGGATGTGCTGCCTTAGAGGAACTGACGGGGGCTGGAGCTTGATTTTCTCTGAATTAGCCCCATTAAAGCTCTATAATTATCAACAAGCTGGTGACAACTCTCAAAGGCCCATTAGTGACCAAGCCTCATTATTTATCCAAGGATGTTAACTTTAGCCAGGAGGTGTGATTTGAGTGGCTGGAGGACAGGACCCCGTGGCTCACACAGACAAGCACCTTCACCTGCCCTCAGGGCCCACCTGGCCTGCTCAAGCCCAGGGGGGTTTTCAACTCAGAGGCTCCTCCAGGGTGGAGGCTGAGCCTTCCCGCTCCCCACACCCCAAGAGCAATTCTGTTATTCTCTCTTTTGTTTCTCCGTTGCACCCTCTCAAGAGTTCAGCTAAACAAAGCGGCAGAAAAAATGTTCGGAAGCCACTAAGCTTTAAGGCGGGAGCTATCAGGATGGGAGTGAAGAGGCTTGGATTCTGCTTCCAGCTCTGCTGTGCCACCCTGACCAAATCACCTCCCCTCTCTGAGCCTCATTTCTCCAAATAGGAAATAAAGACTTTGGGCGATGAGCTCTCTCAGAGAGCTCCACCACCGGCAAGTCTCTAAAAATGGTGACTGAGCTTCTAGACTCAGTCACCATTAGACTATTATTTCTTATAAAACTTGCATTTGGAGTTCAAAGAAATTCATCAATCCCATCCTGGAGCAGCACTGGGCTTGCTCTTCCTTCCTGGGAAGTGAATACCGGTGTTGGTTTCACTGGGCAGCTTCGGGCCTTCCTTAAACACGGATGTCTGTAGAGCCAGTGGAAGGGACCCCTCTCCCCGCCTGGAGCTGAATTTCCCAGTGGGGACTCTGTCTGCTGGCTTGTCCTTCTCTGGAATTGGGAACAGGGCAGAGATCGTGGACTGTGTTGTTTTAATAGATGAGCATCACACCTCTGCTCCCGTGAGAAGCTGGAGAATGAATTGGTTTGGATGGACTGGCCGTGTGGATTGGACATCTGCTCTTTGCTGGTGTCAGAGGTGTGGCCGAGGCATGGTCCCTGCCCTCAGGAGGCAAATGTCTGGGGGGCACAAGCCACAGGTTAGGTCTGAAGGGAACAGCAGACTGATTTAATGTCGTGCAAAGCCAAGAGCTTTAGAGACTATTATTACAAAAGCCTGGGCCTGGAGAAGCTTGGGCCCATGGCTGTTAGTTGTTACAGACGTGGTGATAGATCACTCCCTTACAGAACCTCACCTGCTTACCCACACAGAGGGGAGCTAGGATACAGGCAGCAAAAGGCCAGATACACCTGGACTAAAGCATGCATGCTCTACTCAGGGAAAAGGACTTTAGGCTCCACTCAAGGCCTATTGACTTTTTTTTTTTTTTTGGCTGCGTTGGGTCTTCGTTGCTGCACGCGGGCTTTCTCTAGTTGCGGTGAGCGGGGGCTACTCTTCATTGCGGTGCGCGGGCTTCTCATTTCGGTGGCCTCTCATTGCAGAGCACGGGATCTAGGCATGTGGGCTTCAGTGGTTGTGGTGTGCGGGCTCAGTAGTTGTGGCTCACGGGCTCTAGAGCGCAGGCTCCGTAGTTGTCGTGCACAGGCTTAGCTGCTCCGCGGCATGTGGGATCTTCCCGGACCAGGGATCGAACCCGTGTCCCCTGCACTGGCAGGCTGATTCTTAACCACTGCACCACCAGGGAAGTCCCATGGCCTATTGACTTTTAGTTTAGACACAATTTTAACAAGTATTCTCACCTGGTTTCATAGAAGAGACAAGTAACTAGTGAATAGGAGAGAGAGCTGTTTGTGCTACCAGAGGCAAGTACTCTAACAGGAGTTTCAAGCTGACGGCAAAGGAGGAGGCAGAAAAAATGAAGAAAACCTCAAAACGGAGTGGCCACCTGGGATCCCTCGGTGGAGGAATCATCTCACATGCCCTTCTGTGTCTGGGCTGGGACTCTGACACAGGACAGTAACCGTAGTCATAGCAATGATTCAGGTTATTCCGAAAAGTGTAAGTGACCATTTGTGTATTCTGCTCACGAAGGCTGGGAGGGGAGTGATCCAATTCGGAATGAGTTCATTCCAGAAAGTGTCTCAGAGGGGCAAGTACAGTTATCTAGAAAAATCACCTAAATGGATACGCTGCTTCTATAATTATCTACTGAGTACTTTCTGTACCCCAGGCGTGGTGTTAAAGCACAATGCCATGGGGTGGATGCTGTTATGTCTCCGTTTCGCAGATGAGGAAACTGAGGCACACTGAGGCTAGATACACTGTCCAAGGTCACACAGCAAGGAAGTGCAGAGCCAGGATATGAATCCAGGGTCAGACGTCAGAGGGCAGGTCTCACACCCTACGGGTGCCCCCGCGAGACAACGACAGAGACACTGAGCTGTGTGCCTGACCCTGTGTTAGGAGCTGGGGTGCAAGACAAGCAGTGGCTGGACTCGGCCAGCAGGCTGTGGTTTGCTCTAGACCCACACTGGGCACCCCTGGCCTCCCCCCGAGCATCACTCCAACCACTCCGCCCCCCCACCCTCTGGGTTGGCCTGTGGCTGGAATGCCCCTTCCCCCGGCCCCAAGGTGCACTGGCCAAGCCCTCCTCGTCTTGCATGGCTCAGGTGAAGTGTCACTTCCTCCAGGAAGCTTTTCCTGATGGCCCCAGTTCACATCCAGGCCAGGCGTCCCCCCTGAACCCTCCATCAGTCCTGGCCCACTAGACTTTGTTTTGACCAATCCTTTTCGTCTGTTCCTCCCATTAAGCGGTGCTTTCCTCGGGGCAGGAACCCTGTCTTATTGATATCTTCGATCCTGGAGTCTGGCATATTGTAAACACTTGGTAAAGAAAGAAAGAAAGAATGAATGAATGAATGAATGAATGAATTAGATGCCAGTTGACCAGCCCAGCAGCCTGCAAGGAGCATCTGGGCTTCTAAAGACATCCTGTGAATGTGTACCTCGCGGGGGAGAGATTTGCCCCGGAGGTCTGCTCCCACCCACAATCCCAGCCTTCAGGCCGGGAACCATGTTGGTGAGAAAAGCCACAGCTGCCGTGTGTGATCACGCCCGAGGGCGGCAGCTGCATCCAATCACTGCTGCACCCGCTGCCCAGCCCTTGGGAATCACTCCTTGCCTTTTAGAGGCCGGGGTAGCAGCTCGCGGGCCCAGCTCTCTCCTCACACCCGGCGCAGCACTCCAGAGGGACCGGGCAGACCAGGGAGCCGCAGCCCCAAGTGCTGCTGGGGGGCGGCGAGTGGGCCAGCCAGTCGGCCGGGCTGGGTCCTGCAGTGCTGCAGAGCCTGACCCCTCTGCCTTCTCGCACACTCCTGGGACCGTTAAGAGGCGGGGGGAGCTGAGGTGCAGAGCCCTGGCCAGTGGTTGCACCAGGAGGACAGGAACCCCTTTAGCTGAGTGCGGCACATGTGGCCCCACCCTGGACCAGCCACGGGCCGCGGGGCACGGCGTAGGGGTCAGGGGCCCACTGCCTGGCTTTGACTCTCAGTTCACCGCTCACAGTGTCTGGAGGTGACGGGCCTAACCCCCCCGCCCTCGAGCCTCCTTCTCAGGGTTGGCGGGGTTGGTATGCAGCAGGTGCTCTGCTGGTGGCAATCAGCGCGGTCACCGTGGCACCTCGTCCGGCCGCACAGGGGTGGCTGACGCTTCTCCACCGTGTGGGCCCGGCATGACCTGAGCCCTCCCTGTCTGCAGCTGCCCTGGGCACGCTGGACTTCAGCCTGCTCTACGACCAGGAGAACAACGCTCTCCACTGCACCATCAGTAAGGCCAAGGTAGGCCCCACCTGTGCGCAAAGGGCGAGGAGGGAGTTCTTGCTTCAGTCATCTCAGCTGCTCCTGAGATGTAGCTGCCTCCCCTACAGTGAGGTTTTCAGGGGAAAGAGTAGAACAGAGAAGCCAGAGAGAATGGGGGTGGGGGGCAGCTTTCAGGAGACAGAGGCCCCAGAGCTGGGGAGCTGTCGAAGGAGGGAAGGGCAGGCAGGGAGGTGACAGGCCTGTCCTGCAGGCCAAGAGGAAGGGTTGGACTTGGGTGCCTCCGGACTCCCCGAGGAGGCTCTGGACGCTGATGCCATGCCAGGCGGGGGATTAGTCTCTGGTCGCACCGGCCTGAGCTTGCTCTCTGGGTGGAGGCGTGGGCGTCTGTAAACCCCACGCTGGTCCTGCCCCGGGCTGGCACCCATCAGCTGTGTTCTCAGCCACGCTGTTCCCTTCATCCCCACACCGCGACGCTCCCCCTGGGAGGAAGGTGCCCAAGTTGATGTTCTCCCGCAAGGTAAGGGCAGCCGTGCGGCCTGGTAGACCTCCCGGTAGAGCCGTGGAAGGGCCTGGGGCCGGCTCAGAGCAAGGAGCTTCCGGCATCGCTGCCTGCGCCCAGCCCCACACCACCAGCACCCCAACCTGCGAGCTCCTCTGCCCCTCCTCCCGCCCTGCCCGTGGCTCTGCTCACCCAGAGGGGCAGGCTGCCTGGTTCGGCCCTGGCTGTGCCCCACCCGGCCTGGGCCGCCGTGGCTGGGCCACCGGGGCAGGGGTGAGCAGTGTCCCTGTTGGGCCAGCACCATCCCCGCCCCCACCCCCTCCTCTGGGAGCTGCTCGGGCTGTGACACAGGGCACACCCTGCCCTCCTCGAAAGGGCTCTAGACCTGCCCTAGGCACAGAGCTGGGAATCTGATAACCCCCGGCTGTGCTGAGGTGGAAGGCAGGGTGCACGCCCAGGCAGACCCCTTCCCCTCTCCCTCCACCCAGCTGTGTAGAGGTTGTCCAGGCCAGGGGACTGGGAATGGGCACTGGCTGCCAGGCTGCTCTGGCCAGAGCCGTCCCTTCTCCTCCCCACCCAGACTCCAGGCCCCTCCTGTGCTGTGTGCCCCGCCTTCCCTACCCAGGCTCTAGAGGGGCTATGTGGGTGAACTGGGGGGAGGGGGTGTATGTGTGTGCACACGCGTGTGTCCACTTAGGTTTGTATCACTCAAGGCATTGGAGATGGGGGATGGGAGGACCCCAAGCCACGGTCGCTCCCACATTCTCCAGTTCATCCCCTGCTTAGAACCAGTTCTGCAGGGGAAGGGGCGGTGCAGGCATGGGAGGAGCTGGCGCTGGGCTGGGGTGTGGGGAGAAGCCCCAGGGGGTAGGAAGGCTGAGGCCGACAGGCAGAGCTCCTCGGGGGCCTCTGGGAGGATGCCAGATGCCCCAGTGCTGGACCCTAGATTGGCCACCCTCCCTCTAGGTAAGCAGAGCTGCCTCAGTTTGCTCATCTGTAAAATAGGGTTAATCATCCCCACCTATGTGGTGGTTGTGAGCATTAAATGAGTGAGTGCTCAGTACCTAATGCTGTCCTGCAGGACAGGGCCTGGCAGCAGACACCTCCCCCCCGCACCACACACACACACACACACACACACGCACACGCACGCACGCACGCACGTATGGGCACTCATATCCACAGCAGAACTGGAAAGTTCCACCTTCATGCGAAAGGGTGAGAGGCGGAATGAGAGGCCTGTGTTGGGAAGGTCTGTCTCTCTGCCACAGTGCATGCAGGGCCGCCCAGCCAAGCTTCGTCCTGGAGCCAGCCCCACGGAGCAGGGCAGAGCTGGAGCCCAGGCAGCTCCCGGCACAGCTCAGATGCCTCCTTCCTCAGCAGCTTCTCCGGCATCTTCCAAGGGGCCCGGCATTTAGGGGAAGGGGGGAGCAAATGCCCCACCAGCAGGCCCCGCGTCAGCATTGCCTCCTCAGCTCCCCCAACAACCTTGAGATGTGGGGACTTAACCCATTTTACAGATGATAAAGCTGAGGCTCGGGAGGCAGATGAAGTCATCCACTTACCCAGCTGAGAAGTGCAGGAGCTGAGACCTGAACCCCGGCCAGCCTGGCTCTAAAACCCGTGGGCCCCTTCCCAGTAGCCGAGCAGTGTTGTTTGGAAGTTGGAAGACCCCACCTCAGATCTCAGCCCCTACCTGGGAGCTCCTCCACCAAGGTGGGGATGGGGGAGAAGAGCCTCAGCTCCCCTGGGAGGTGGGCTCGTCATGAGCAGCCAACTTGCAGCTCATCTTTGCCTGTCTTTTTTTTTTTTTTTTTTTTTGCGGTACGCGGGCCTCTCACTGTTGCAGCCTCTCCCGTTGTGGAGCACAGGCTCCGGACGCGCAGGCTCAGCGGCCATGGCTCACGGGCCCAGCCACTCCGCGGCATGTGGGATCTTCCCGGACCGGGGCTCGAACCCGTGTCCCATGCATCGGCAGGCAGACTCTCAACCACTGCGCCACCAGGGAAGCCCTGCAGCTCATCTTTGAATGAGGCTGTGGGGTTGCCAGCTCTACCCCACACATGCCCCAGCTGCCTTCCTCCATCCCCATGTGCCATCCTAGAAGCAGAATAGACGATTAGCACAAGCAGGAGCGAGCATGAGGTCACCTAGGCCCCTGTTTATGGTTCCGTGAGTTCCTTGGCTGTGCACACTTGACTGGTGGTTGAGAGTGAGTGAGGGGGGGCTTCCCTGGTGGCGCAGTGGTTGAGAGTCCGCCTGCCGATGCAGGGGACACGGGTTCGTGCCCCGGTCCGGGAGGATCCCACATGCCACAGAGCGGCTGGGCCCATGAGCCATGGCCGCTGAGCCTGCATGTCCAGAGCTTGTGCTCCGCAACGGGAGAGGCCGCAACAGTGAGAGGCCCACGTACTGCAAAAAAAAAAAAAAAAAATGGGGAGAGAGTGAGGGGTGCCATCTTGTGGAGGGACCCTCCACGGCCGGCCAGCTTGTGTGGCCTCTGGGGACACAGACTGGCAGGGGGCTGTGACAAAGCCAGAGAGAACTTGAGCCTGGTCTCCAGGACACAGAATGTTTTCCCACGGCCTCAGGGAAGCGTGTGGATGAGCAGACAGAGGGTCACAAGGACCTCGGGTCTGTGAGGGAAGTCGCAGTGCACGGGGAGCAGGGAGAAGGGGGATCGGGAAGAAGGAAAGGCCTGACCACAGCAGGAGAACGAGGGCCTCATTCAGAGAAAGTGAGTCACCTGGCCTCCAAGATAAGGAAAACAGAGGCCGATCTGACAAAGGCACCCCATGTTGCCTGCCCAGGGCCAGGCGTTTGGGGTGGCGGTGGGGGGGAGATCGCACCAGCACGGAGCCTTCCTTGCCACCCCCCATTCTGGGGGTGTGGGGCAGGATTGCTTCTGTGAAGAGGGTCATGAATGGACCCAGCCAGGAGGCCCAGGGGGTGGGGATGCCTGCTGACCCAGGTGCCTGGAGGCCTTGGCAGCTCTGTGTCCCCAAGCCCCCAGTTACACCCTTCGCCATTCTCCTCTGCTCAGGGCCTGAAGCCGATGGACCACAATGGGCTGGCAGACCCCTATGTCAAGCTGCACCTGCTTCCAGGAGCCAGTAAGGTAAGGGGCCCTCCTGTCGCGACTGGGGCCCAGGCTGGGCTTGGGGCACCCAGGGAGGCCCACGGCTCCCACACCCACTCAGAGCCCAAGCAAGTTGAGGGTTCACTCCACCTCCACCCAGAGCACCCAGTCACCCCCACACCCTCTAGGCCTCCCAGGGACCTTGAGTCAGCACCACCTGTCCACTGAGTTGGGGAAACTCGCGGGGAGAATTTCTAGGCCAGCGTTTTAAAAGAAACACTCTCAGCTGGACGTTAATACTGTGCGCAAAGGGTTCTGTGGCCAGATAACACTGGGAAACATTGTTAAACAGGTTTCTTTACTGCAGGACTTACCAGAGCCTTTAATGTGTTGATGGGCTGCCCTGTGATGCCCCACAAGAGGGATGGAGTAGTCAGCAACTGCCCAAATTATTTGACTACAGAACCCTTGTTCCTGTACCGGATGACCCGACAAGCAGACCAGCCCAACAGGTGCATCTATGAAAGGAGAGGGAAAAAACATTTTTTAAATTCTCTACGAAAAGCATCAAGGTGGCCTTCAACACTAGAAGATCAGAACTTGATGAGACTTCCTTTCATACGTCTTACAGTTCAGTGTAGTTTTATTTGTAATGTCATGGGAGGGAAGGTCACATCTTTTCAGAATTGGGTCCTTCCCTAGCCCACAGATATCTCAAGGGCTGAGTAGAGCAGACCCCATGCCAGGGGGGACTCAACTGGAGTCCAGCAGCTTTGTTTCCAGGTAGGGACCAGGGCGGAGGCAGAGGGACAGGGGACACAGGACACAGAAGCATGAGCCGCAGAGCCCAGTGGCTGGTGCTCTTGTCCTGGCCTCCTTCTTAGAAGCCAAAGTTGGGGAGTTCCTTCCTGGCCCTCGAGTGACCTGATAGAGAGGAAGAGTCAGCAGTGGGGGCACCCCCCTGGGCAGAGGGCCTCCCCCAACACTGCTCAGGACAATTGCAGACCTACTGGGGGGTCCCACCCCCAGGTGGCCACTCCAGGCTGAGGAGCCACAGGGTGCTGGGGCCTGAGTTAACTTTGGGGCCCAGGCTGCCCCTGGTCCGGTGGCGCCATCCCAGAAGGGAAGGCAGGGCTGCGGGAGAAAGGGCAGTGGACCTCCCACTACACCTGGAGGAGCAGGCTCCCCACTCCAGGCCTCTCTGTCCTCATGCTGCAGGGAGGACCCCCAGGGCTGTGAAGGCCACGCGACCAGGGGAAGGGCCCCAACTCGGGGGCTCAGTGACCGTGCGTCTCTAGACTCCTGGGACCTCGAGTCGGCAGTACCTGGCTGCTGAATCCTAGGGACCCCCCCATAGGATAGATTCCCTCGTAGGGCAGAGTTTCATAGAGCACCTTATAGAGAAGGTTCTACAAACCAGGCTGAGAGATGTGGTGTTACGCCCTGGAGCCTGACCCTCAGAAAGGGTCAGTAACCCACTGGGCTCCACAGAGCTTATGTAAGTGGTGGAGCTGGGATTTGAACCCAGGGCTGTCTGACCTCAAAGCCTGGGCCGGTTTGTGGCGGACATCAAAGGGAATCGGCTACGGAAGTCAGGGACTGAAGGGGGCAAGGCAGGTAAGGAGTCTAAGAACCACGATCTCTGGAAGCACAGAGGAAGGAGGGGAGGCAGCCCCCAGGCGTCCTCCAGGAGAGGTGCCTTCCCCGCAGGGGCCAGCCTGAGTAAAGGCAAGGAGGCTGAGGGAGAGAATCTAGGTCCGAGCCAGGCTTCCCAGCCGCCCAGACCACGCCTCCTGCAGACACCCCCCCCCCCCCCCCCCCCCCCCCCCCCCCCGCCACACACCTGGGCATGCACCTGGGAGGCAGGATTCTCCTGTTGTAGTTTCCTAGGGCTGCGCTAGCAAATGACCACCAACTGGGTGGGTTACAACACCACAAATCTCACACCTTCCAGTTCTGCAGGGTGCGAATCCGACATAGGTCCCACTGTGCTACAATCACGTGTCAGCAGGGCTGCATTCCATTCTGGAGGCTCGAGGGGAGAAGCTATTTCCCATTCCTTTCCAGCTTCTAGAGACACCCCCTTTGCTTGGCTCGTGGCCCCTTCCTCCATCTTCAAAGCCGGTGTCGCCTCTCTGACTTTCTCCCCTTGTCACGCTCCTTCGGACTCTTCTCTCGCCTCCCTCTTCTACTTTTAAGGGCCCTGTGATGACGTGGGACATGGCCCACCCACATCATCAGGATAAACCACCTGTGTCGGAAGTGCAGCGTCTTAACCACTGGATCGCCAGGGAAGTCCCCAGTCGGCCTGTTTTAAAGTCAGCTGACTAACAACAGCGTTAATCCCCCTTTGCCAGGGAAGAGCACTCATGCACGGGATCTGGGGGATTGGGAAGTGTTTGGGGCCATTACATTGCCCATCACCCTCTTTGACACTCAGAGGATCATTTTTGCTCTCTCCAGGCAAATAAGCTCAGAACAAAAACTCTCCGAAACACTCTGAACCCCACATGGAATGAGACCCTCACTTACTACGGGATCACAGACGAAGACATGATCCGAAAGACCCTGCGGTGGGTGAGACCCCGGGCCGCCGGCTCCCCCACCCCACCCCACCCAGCCTTGTCCACAGGGCAGGCCCTCCCCACATCCCCCGGCCCACCGCCTGCAAATCTGCACTGACTTTGGCAGCAAATTGAGAGGCCCCTTGCCCTCCAGGATCTCGGTGTGTGATGAGGACAAATTCCGCCACAACGAGTTCATAGGGGAGACGCGGGTGCCCCTCAAGAAGCTGAAGCCTAACCACACCAAGACGTTCAGCATCTGCCTGGAGAAGCAGCTGCCGGTGAGTGTGCCACGGCCTCCGGTGCTGGGCTTTGCAGCCGTCCAGGGCCCACCCTGCCCTGAGCGCAGGGCCAGGAGCATTTATTGAGCACCTACTATGTGCCTGGCACAACTGCAGGTGCTGGGGAGACAGATAAATCTCCCTGCCCTCATGAAGTTTGGGTGGGAGACAGACAAAAAATGAAATAAACGACCCAAACGATAGTCTGTTCAGCAGGGACAGGGCCGAGAAAAAAAGCATGAGAGGAGTCAATGGGTTAGACGGGTGCTCTGGGAGGGCTCACCCGGCGAGCAGGGAATATTCCAGGCAGAAGGAACAGCAGGTGCAAAGCCCTGTATGGAAAAGCGCCCAGCCTGTGGGAGGCACAGGCAAGAGGTCAAATGAGAGGGGCAGAGAGAGAGAGGGGAGGGGGGTCCTGGGAGCTGAGAGCAGAGGTTGGGGGTTGGGGATGCTGGGAGGACTCTGGCCTTATCCCTGAGTGAGATGGGCCACAGGAGGGTGCTAGGCAGGGGCCAAGGCACCTGAGGACTTAACAGGCTCCTCAGAATGGGAGGGAGTGGAGGGCCAGGGCGGGGAGACCAGCAGGGTGGAGGGAGGAACAGGACCCAGGCCTAGGCGGGGCAGCAGTGGAGGCAGGAGAAGGGCTGAAGGTCGGTATCCTCAGGCCTGGTGCCCGAGCACCTGGGAGGATGAAGGGTCATTAACTGGGATGCGGAGGACCATGGGAGGAGCAGCTGGGGATGCTCGGAGCGCAACTGGAACATGTTAGGCGTGGGGTGCCTGTGAGATACCCAGAGGAGACAGAAAATCATTCTTTCCTAGAAATTGCAATTGTTTGAAAATGTCAAAACCAATTTTGCCCCCGGGTCGTCTGCAGCAGCTGAGCCCTCCCAGAGTCTCTGAGCAATTTTCCCCTCCCCCTTCTCCTCCCCGTTCCTTCCCCTCCCCAGGCCTGCCCTCACCCAGTTCAAAAGGGCCAGCAGGGGTTGGCCAAGAGGTCCAAGGCCCGGGACTCTAAGAAACCTATGCCTTCAGGGACTGCATGGTGTTCAGGGCACAGTCCCCTCCCCAGGACAGTTCCCTACCAGAGGTCTGGGCAATGGGAAAGCTCAAGAGGACAGTCCAGCAGCTGTCCCCCGAGGGCCTGTACCCCTCCCCCATAGGGCCCCGAGACACATGCTTAGCGCAGCCTGGCCTGGAACAAGTGACCTGAGGTCAGACCTCCCTCCCAGAAACCCAGCTCTGTCTTTTTGCATAAGTTGAGCAAATTGTATTCCATTGTCACGTTCTCTCCCACTCATAGATATTTGTGTGATGGAGATAACCCTTCTAATTTTATTATTAGTCACTAACCATAGGTGACCCAGTTTCTCCAAATGATATATGTTACTTATAAAAGGCAACACCAACTCCTGCTGGAGTTGTGTTTCTGAGTTTTGATCCCTGACATAAACAAACACCTGTGTGGTGTGTGAATTGTGTGTGAGCAGTGTGTGAGAGCGTGGAATGCATGTGTGAGCACCTGTTTCATGCCCGGGGTGGGTGGGGGGGGGTGCGTGAAAGCATGCATGCTTGTGCACCAGGTGTGATCAGGGACTTGCTTAGCCTTGCTTGAATTTGCTAGGATCTCATTGGTCCAGTTCAGGGACCCACAATGACAAGGGTACAGTTCAGAAAAATCAATCGGCAGTAAAGTTTCATTTTGATGATACCTTATAGATTTTACATAGCCTTGTAAACCTTATTCGTTCTCCGTAAATACTGAACGATGCCCAGTTCAATGGTCTACATGTGAAACAATCCAAAGTATATCCTACCCTAAAAAAACAGCTGAAAATATCCCGGCTCATTTATACTGTTTAATTTTCACACATCACAACTGCCACAAGAGCCATGGTTTAGTGAGGCTGTCATACACAAAGCCCTAGGCCCGAGTGGCAGGTAGTTAAATCTCACCCGCCTCCTCTGAGCCACGGGTACAGGCTGCCTGAGCACTGTGTTGAGAAGATACTGAGGCTGCATTTGAGCTCAGGGTGAATTCAGTCGTCAGCTAGCCATGTCTGCCCTGGGTGTGGGAGTTGGGGAAGGTAGTCCTTCCTTCACCTAACGGGAGCCCCGTCTACAGAGAGGTGCAAGCATGGCCCCTGCCCGTGAGGGGCCACGTAAGCTGCCGTTTTAGTGCCAGGCAGTGAACAGTCCAGAGCAGAGGGACCGAGTGCAAGAGGAGCCTGGCAGAGAAACCTAGGAGGGGCCTTTGGGGGTCATAGGGCTCAGGCTGGGTGGACAGAGGGTAAAGGAAAGGGGTTCCAGGTGAGTAGCAGCTGGAAGGTAGAAACAGGTGGTCTCAGGAGGGTGAGGAATGGTCTCAGTGGGCTGGCTGGGGTGGGGAGGCCACACAGTGAGACCTAGAGTTGAGGTCTGATCCGAGGCAGGTGCTAGGCAGGGCAGGCCTAGGCCACACCCCACCTGCCTCCTAGCTCCCCCTGGGGTTGGGAATGTGCCTAAGAAGCTCCAAGAAGCACCTTCCAGGGGGCCGGGGCCAGGGTGACCCCTCAGCACCCACCGGGCTCCGTTTGGCCTGGGCCTGTGGCTGCAGGAGAGGTGGGAGCAGGCAAGGACAGCTGAGTGACCACCCACCTGCCCCACAGGTGGACAAGACAGAAGACAAGTCCCTGGAGGAGCGGGGCCGCATTCTCATCTCCCTCAAGTACAGTTCGCAGAAGCAGGGCCTGCTGGTCGGCATTGTGCGCTGCGCACACCTGGCTGCCATGGACGCCAACGGCTACTCGGACCCCTACGTGAAAACGTGAGTGTGCAGCCCAGGCCAGCCGCCTCCTTCCCCACTTTCTCACCTCCAGGGACTAGGGAGGTCCATGCATCGAGATCAGTAGTCCGTGTGGCAAGTACTTGTGTGAAGCACAGGGGGTGCTGTGCCCACGAGGTCATACTCTTCTGCGCTCTTTGGGCAACTCTGTGGGTTGAGTCTGGCCAAACCCATTTCTCAGATGAGGAAACTGACGTCCATAGCAGTTGAGTGGCAGCCCAGTCACACAGAGAGAGAGTAGTTATCTCCTGATGTTTGGATCAGGTCTCTCTGTGGTCACGGGGCCCAGGAAAGGCTGTGAGCAGGTTGGAGGAGGGGACAGGAGGCCAGGAGATCCAGTGAATGGACTCCATCAGGACTTAGGGCTGGGCACATGTGGGCAGTGCTCTACGGTACCACAGACACAGATAGGGGTCCACCAAACCCTGACAGGTGGGGCTTCTGGTAGCACTGGGGAGAGACTTAGCTCAGGGGCCCCAGAGCTGTGAACCTGGGTCAGGACAGGCTGTGATCCTAGCTCAGGCAGGAGCTGGTGGCCATTTGGAGAGGGATAAAGCCTGTGTTTTAGTGACCATCATCTGTGCTTCGGTGCGCTCCACAAACAAAAGATGGGCATAGTGAAGTTGTCTTGAAGGGTAGGACTTGGGGAGGAATTTGGCTCAGCAGAAAGGAGGTGTTTCTGCTCAGGGAAAGGGACAGAGGATTTAAAATAGTTAAGGAGGAGGGATGGTTCTGGTCTCAGAAGACAGTAAGGAGGCCCAGGTGACAGAGGCCATCACAAGGACTACTGGTTTTCTGCTCAAAAAACAATGTTGGGGCCCAACTTCAACCATTAGCAAGACAGTGATTTCCAGTGGATCAGAGACCACTGGGAACGGAAATGCTGTAATAGCTCAGAAGACAATTAGACTCTTTAAAGTGGAGGGAAAGTAAGTGATACTCGGTAACCTAGAAAGATGCGTACGCCCTGTGGCCACATCATTTCCCTTCCAGGTCTGCATCCTAGAGACCCAGGCCCTGGCATAAAGCTGCTTTTGCAGCATTGCTTGATAGCGGTAAGACGGAAATAGCTAGTGTTCATTAGCAGGTTAATAAAATGTGGCATCTGTGTACAGTGGAGTGCTGTGCAGTTGAAGTGAATAAATGAGGGAGCTGAATGAGCATGGACAGAGCTATGCTGAGCCCAAAGCAAACTGTAGTGGGGGGGGCACCAGTGTGATACTGTAGTGATTGTCTCTGGGGAGGGAGGACAGTGCCTCCACCTGTAACTGTGATGCTAGAGGGTTTTTTTCTCATTTTTATTTATTTTTGGCTGCCTTGGGTCTTCATTGCTGCGTGCTGGGCTTTCTCTAGTTGTGGCGAGCGGGGGCTACTCTTTGTTGCAGTGCACAGGCTTCTCATTGCGGTGGCTTCTCTTGTTGCAGAGCACGGGCTCTAGGTGTGCACGCTCAGTAGTTGTGGCTCACGGGCTCTAGTGCAAAGGCTCAGTAGTTGCGGCGCACGGGCTTAGTTGCTCTGCAGCATGTGGGATCTTCCTGGACCAGGGCTTGAACCCGTGTCTCCTGCATTGGCAGGTGGATTCTTAACCACTGCACCACCAGGGAAGCCCTAGAATGTTCTTATGGAAGAAAATATGATCTGAAGCCAAAATGGTGTGAAAAAAATTTTTAATTAACATTTATTTTTGGTTGCAGTGCATGGGCTTCTCATTGCGTTGGCTTCTCTTGTTGCAGAGCACGGGTTCTAGGCACACAGGCTCAGTAGTTGTGGCGCACAGGCTTAGTTGCTCCACGGCATATGGGAGCTTCCTAGACCAGGGCTCGAAGCCGTGTCCCCTGCTTTGGCAGGCGGATTCTTACCACTGTGCCGCCAGGGAAGGCTGGTGTGAAATTTCTAAATTGGGCTCAGTTCCCACCTGCCAAGTTGATAGGAATTCCAGGGTCTCATGCTGTGTTATCCAGAAAATAGGGCCTCACCTCGTACAACAGAGGGTCCAGCCACCTCCCACAGCCAGGGAGAGGTAGCCCTGGCAGGGCCTGTCCACCATGCCTGGGGCTCCCCCTGCCACAGGTGTGGTAGTTGCTGGACCCACCCTCCAGCCATGGGCCGGGTCAGCGTGGCCTTTGAGACAGGCAGCTCTGTGGGTGGCCCCCTGTATCAGAGGGAGGCCCCCAGCAGCCTAGAAACCCGTACATCTGATTGAAATTCCCTGGGTGAGTTGCAGGGGCTGCTGCTCAGGCCTCCTCAGGGCTCCCTATCTCTGAAAGGCCCCTTCATGGACCGTGGGGCTTCTCTTTGGTAAAAGTAGGGGAAATAAAGGCACAGGTGAGATTCCGAGCGGAGCATCTGGGGCCTTGAGAAGAGAGCTACATGGAAGTGGCAGGTGGAGGTGGAGGATGCTGAGGGGCAAAGCTAGATGGGCCAAGGCCTTTTGTCAGCACCCTTTTTATAAACTTCACCCCAGATGACAGCTACCTCAGTTTCCCCAGGCTGGAAGCTGACCCCAAGTCCAGTTCTTCAGGCTCTGCTGATGGTTAACGAACAATCAGTAACACATACCGAGTAATTGCTGGGTGCCAGGGCTGTGCTAGGCCTGTTTGAAGCCCCCCAGCAGCCCTGTGCAGTACTTGTTACCATCTCCATCTCACACCCAGGGGCACTGAGAAAGCTCAAAGCAACTTGCTGTGCTGCCCTGGGCAACCCCTTCCTTCGCCAGCCCTCTGCTGTCTTCTAGGGGCCTCAGGTGAGCAGCAGTTGCTGTGCAGAAGGGACCAGCAGCGGCACTGGTAGGGAGGCTCCATGAGCCCTGGTGGCCAAGGCAGGAGGGAGTGCTGATAGGGAGGGTGAGCAGCCATGGGCGGGCCCCTGGAGCATGGCCAGGGTGCACTTCTCGCCCACAGAGGCCACGCTCCCTCAGGAAGCTCCCCTGCATGCAGTGGTGAGGTGAGGCGAGAAGGGACTCCAGGCAGGGAGACAGCATAGACAAAGGCCTGGGGGCAGGACAGGGGATGACCCCTAGCTGGGGCCTCGTGAGGATCACTAGACGGACACTGGCCGTGCAGCGCTGAGGGAGCCTGGGATAGCTTCCCTTCAGGGCCTTCTGGAGGCAGGGCTGGGAGACACTCCACTGTGCAGGACCACCGCCCCTATCCCTCCTCCTCGCCCCCAAAGTAAAACAGGCAAAGACGAGTCAAGAAGTGCATGGGAGCTTGTAAGGAATGCAGAAATTCACCATCTCTGGGTGAGGGTTTAAGGGAACCCCCCCAACCTATTTAAAAAGTCATCTTTATTGAGGTATAATTTACATCCAGTAGGTTTCTCCCCTTTTGAAGTGTGACTGACTGAAGTATACAGTCTTGTCACCACCACCATGGTTAAGATCCAGATACCATCACCCCAGAAAGGTCCCCGGGCCCCAGTCAACCATTTGACTTGTTTTCTGTCGCGACAGTTTTGCCTTTTCCAGACTGACTTATAAAGGCAACTCCTACATAATCTAATGCTCTGGGGAGCCAGCCACGTGGTGCCTGAGCCCAGAGTTCTGTCTGTAGGTCTGCATTGCCAAGTAGTCGTCCGTCAGGTCACTTCCTGTTGAAGTGCATGGGGGCTGTTCCCAATTTCTGATGGCTGTATAAAGCTGCTAAGGAACAGGCTTTTGTGCAGACCTGTGTATTCATTTCTTTCTCCACCCCCAACTTCTGTTAATACATATTTTCTAGTGTTTCTATAACGAACCAGTATTTCTTATGTAATAACAATCACAACTTTTTAAAAAAGTGCACAGAAAAGCAATAATGAGGTACCACTTTCTATGTTTACTGATCCCACCCAGTGCCAGGCATCAAGTTGGGTACCAGGAAGCTGGTGGTGGGTGAGACAAATGTGGTCCTGTCAGCAGGAGCAGGGCAATTGTCACTAGTGTCTATGCAGGGACAGGGTAAGAAGCTTTGCAAAGGACAGGGCCTGGCTTCTGAGCACCATCCCTGTGCGGAGCAACTGTGTGACCCTGGGTGAGTCCCTCCACCTTTCTGAGCCCCAGATGAAGACTGCTGTTCTGCATCGAAGTCTAAGGAGCTGATGCCCGTGGAGGGAGCTGGCCCGCAAGCAGGGCTTCCCTCTTTCCCTTCAGGAAGCACTGCTGTCACTGCCCTAAAGACCTTTTTTCCTTCCTCAAAGCTCCAGTGAGGTAGTGGCAATGGTTGTACAACTCAGCTCCTATGCTAAAAAACGCTGCGTTATACACTTGAGAAAGATGAATTTTATAGCGTGTGAATTCTATCTCCATAATCTGCTATTACAAAAAGAGCTCTAGCAAGGGACCAACTTTGCTAAAAATGTTTTTCTGGTGGGAAATGAGAGCTGTGAAAATTAGACTTCCAGAAATAAAAAAAATTCTCTTTCCTAGGGGATGGAGGGGCTCTGTGATGTCAGAAATGGGCTGTGAACAGAGGTCCAGGTGATGAAGGACCCATTGCTTCTCCCACTGCACTGACTGCTCACCTTTGTCACAGAGTAGTGCTGGGGACATCCGAGGGTTAGGATGAACGGGAGGCCTGGGAATCTCTCTCTTCCAAGCCCTGCTGGCTCCATGTATGCTCAGTATCTTCTCACTCTCTGCCTATTGATTGGTTATAATTCCAGATACCTGAAGCCAGATGTGGACAAGAAATCCAAACATAAGACAGCGGTAAAGAAGAAAACCCTAAACCCAGAGTTCAACGAGGTACGAGAGGCTGGGGAAGCCATGAGCCACTCACTCTCCCTCAGGACAGGGGACCCCGGAGGGACTGGGTTTTTCAAGGGTCACTGTGGGAGCTGGAGGTTGGAGACGGACTGACAGGAGAGCCCCCAGCCGTGGGGTAGGAGGACTGGTGGGAGAAGTGAGGCCAGGCTGAACCAGGCCAAGGTGGTACAGACAGAAGTGAGGAGCGGCCTGGAAAACTCTTCGGAGGATTGAATTGATGGGATTGTAGCCATGTTAGATGTGGAGGGGGTGGTGTGAGGATGTGAGCGGCCCCAGGAAGGTGGGGGCAGATAGATACCCAGGTCCTCAGCCCAGGGGGTGGGTGCAGCCGGAAAGGAGCTCCAAAGAACGAGATGAGGGAGGGGAGCCTCTGACAGAGCCTGAGTGACTCGGGTGCAGGCAGAGAAGGCCGAGGAGGTGCTGCCAGGGAGAGAGGGGGACACCAGATGTTGAAGGATCCTGGAAGCTGGTGGGAGAGGGTTCCACAAAGAAGGGAGTGGTCAGCAGAATCAGACCCAAGAGAGATCAAGCATGCCAAGGCCGCCAAGTGTGCGCTGACTTGCAATAAGGAGACTCTTGGATCCTGAGAAAAGCAGCTTCAGTGACAAAGGGGCAGGTGGGTCAGAAGGAAGGGGACCCTGAGGAGCTCAGCTGGGCTCTCAGATGGAAGTGGGTGAGATGGGTGAGAATCCATTATCATCCACTGCTGTGCACTGCCCACCCTCCTGGCCACCAGCCGACTTACAGGCCGTGTGTCATTGGTCCTGACACTCCCCTTCTGGCCACCAGGAATTCTGTTATGAGATTAAGCACGGGGACCTGGCCAAGAAGACCCTGGAGATCACCGTTTGGGATTATGACATTGGAAAATCCAACGATTTCATCGGTGAGAGGACACGATGGGAATGCTGTTTAGCAACATGCCCATCCTGGGTTCAGCAAAGGGCAGGGGCCCTGAATCAGGCCACAGTCCCGCCTTCCTGGCCTTTGGGGAAAGTTGGGGCCATAGACGTGATCCAGCCTGACCCCATGTGACAGAGAAAGAGGCCCAGAGAGAGAAAGAGGCCTGGCCGAGTCACACAGCAGTCTGTGGTGGAGCAGGGGTAAAAGGTGATGATGGTCAGCCCCTCAGGCTGGACTCTGAGCCCTTGTGGCCCCAAATCTGTGGTGGGCTTGGTGGCTGTGCACAGTGGAGCTGCCCTAGCACCAACACAAGCCACTGTGCTGCCCCGCAGGTACTGCTCTGGTCCTGGGTAAAGGAAGAGCAGGATCCCTGGGCCCTGATTGGGGGAGTGGGGGCTCCAAGAGTGGGGCAGTCAGACCACAGTCCACCCTCAGAGCAGGTGGGCAGGGAAGAGAGTCTGGCCGTGGAGCACAAAGTCTGGGAGGGGTGCCAGGGGGTACTGGTTCCAGAGAGACCCTGAGAGTCAGAGGTCACCGTGTCCTGGCTGCCTCTCGGCTCCCCTCTGCAGGCGGCGTGGTTCTGGGCATCAATGCCAAGGGCGAGCGCCTGAAGCACTGGTTTGATTGCCTGAAGAACAAGGACAAGCGGATCGAGCGCTGGCACACGCTCACCAACGAGCTCCCGGGGGCCGTGCTCAGCGACTGACCCACCCCACCTGCCCGCTGCACCCACCCCTGCCCGGCCCAGCACAGGCCTGGCCCTGGGCTTCCTCAGCTGCCACTAAGGGCCTCGCCCCCATGTTTGGGGAGATCCAGGACACCTGCTTGGACACAGAGCCACTGCAGCCCCCGCTTAGAGGCCATGGAAGGCCCAGCCCCTCCGAGGGACAGCGGGGGCAGAGAGCTGGGCCTGCTTTCGCCCCCCTGGGGCCTGAGAGGGCCAGAGGTGGAAGAGGAGGACCCTGGCCTCAGCACCCACCCGGAGGAAGCAGATGGGGCTGTCCAGAAGACAAGGACCCTACTAGAGGTCAGCAGTGAGTCGCAGGGGCCTCCAGGCTGAGAGCGCGGGGGTGCCATCAGGAAGAGGGGCAGTAAGAGAAGGAGAATTTGGGCAGGGACAAGACAGGACTCTGAAGAAAGTTCATTCCCAAAAGGAGGTTCTGACTACATCTGTTCATCTCTGGCATGACTGGGTGGGTGGGAAAAGTTGACCTGAGAGCCAGGAGTCTGGTAAAGATCCTGGAGCTCCCAGTGAACGTGGGCACAGGCAAAGCGCTTCACTCAATGATCCCACAGGCCCCTGGGGATGAATGAGACCCTGGGCCTGCCCTCAGGGAGGTGCCCATCTAGTCAGGGAGCTGGAAACAAACCATTACAATGGGGTTGTGAGGAATGCCAAGACCAGCCTGACCCACCTGCACGTTCTGTGGACTCTGCTGACTCGGCTGGGAGAGCAGGGAGGGGTTCCTGGAGGAAGTGATGCTTTAGCAAGGCCTTGAAGGGTGAGTGGAGTTTCTAGGCAGACAAAGGGGAAAGAGCAGTGTAAGCAGGGGGAACCATATACAAGGCCTGGAGGGGAAGGTGATTTGGGCCAGGGGCACTGTCTGGGACCCAGGGTCTCTCTGGGAGAGGGAGCAGGGCTTGTTAGGGGCAACAGCACTCAGTCCTGCTCCCACCCCACCCCTAGCTGCCAGGCCAACTGGGCTTGTAGACATAGGGGGAGTGGCTTAAATTGATGTTGTTGCACGGTCAAGTTCAGTTCTCAGACCCAGCTCTCCTACCTTTGATCTTTCTCCTCCTGAGGAAGCTGGAGGATGGATCCTGCCTCTCGCTCCAAGCTTAAGCATCAGGTCAACTGCAGTCAAGAAGAGAGTGAGTCTGTTTTTCTTTGCATGAAAAGAACCAAAAAGTCCTCCTTGTCCTTACCCTCCTCTCCCCTTCCCCCACCCAGGGCCCTTCTGGGTTCAGGGTTGGGAAGTGGGGAGCCCCAGGTAGCTGCCCCTGCATCCTAGCCCTACTGAGATCCCTTTCAGGAGTACTCAGCAACAGTCCAGGGCCTTGTTTCTGGGAAGGGCTGGTTCTGTCTTCCAGAAGCTAAGAGAGAGCCCCCTGCACCCTGGGTGAAGGTCTCCAGGAAGGGGTTGAGGGCATCAGAATCTTGGGCCCAGGCTTGAAGCCCCAAACTTTTCCTGCCAACTAAGGGGCCTTCAGGAACGCTGGATGAACAAATGCAGAACCCAGGAATTTCTGTGCTCAACCATCACTGCACTGATAGGAAACAAAGCCCAGAGAGGGAAAGTGATCTACCTGAGGCCTTCCAGCCCTACCACAGCTGGGGCAGACCAGGTTCCATGGCCCCTGCCCCACCACCTCCAGCCCAGAGCTCTGGACACCACACCCACACCAACGCTTGTACAGGGCTCACAGGGGCACTGGGGCTAGACCTTATGCTGCAGACACAAAGCACATTACCATCTGAGGCCTGGGGTGATGATGTGAATCCCACCAAGTGCCCATCAGTCTTTTTCCATTTTGCAGGGGAAACAGGACTCCAGCCCCCATACAGTACCTGGCAAACTTTGCTGGTCAGGCAGTCCTGGTTTTCCCTAAGGAGGCTTTGTGTGTGCTAAGGGTTTTACAACCACTGTCGTCTTGATGAATCTTCACAGCCCTGTGAGATGGGTTTAATTGCCATCTGACAGATGAGGAAGGAGATTCAGAGAGGCTGAGTCTATTTATGAGGAACCTTGTGTCTGGGTGAACTCTGGGTTATCGTCTTAGCTTTGCCTTTTGGGTGGGGGGCAGGTTTCTCATTCAGAGAGGAGCTTCACGAATTCCCTGTAAACACACGGAAATGCTGAATGGCCAAGTTAGAAGTACACCTAGAGCCTCACCTAGTACAACTTCCTTGTTAGACACATGGGGAAACTAAGGCCACTTAGCGCCACTTACTTGCGCCACAGAAGTAGCAAGCAGAAGGGGCCTACACAGGATCCAGTTGGGATAAGAACCCAGGACACCTGGCACCTAGTCCAAGGTCTTCTACTGCCCTGGACTGTGCAAGAGCAGATTTGGTCCTTAACCATGGTCCCAGCTGACCACAGGGACAGTCAGGCTGGGAGGTGGGGCTCCTGGACAGCTAGCCCGAGTGGAGGATGGGGCACTGGGTAGAAGACCTCCCAGGGAGAACCTTCACTAGGACCCTGGCACTGTTCTGGACCCCTTGCAGGTTTTATCTCTGTTTGTTAGAGAAAAAGGCGCTTTGAGAAGCTGCAGTGTGAGCTCTCCCTTTGACCCCAAGCTGGCATCTTTCCTCTGGTCCCTCAGCCCCACAAAGACGGTGAATTTGACGCCAAACAAAACAAAGTCATTCCAAAGTCAGATGTCAATAACCAGGGGGTCACCAGGTGTGGCATCCACCGCTACCCCCACCCCCCTGCCTAGTCTCAGCACCCACCGCCACCACTAGCCGATCCCCCACGGGCCCGCCTTCCAACCCTGAAGCGGTAACCTCCTGACCTCTAGTGGCGAGAGCGAGGAACTGCATCTCCTGGCCCGAGCATGTCCTCCCTTTGTTCGTTCTCCAACCGAGAGAACCTCCCGATGCATGGACTCTGGCTGTCTTCGACGACTCGTGCACTGCTTACCACCGTTTTGCTATCATGTGACGGCTGCAGAAACAGTCCTGAAACTGCAGCCCCACACACAATTTTTGTACTTTTGTCTGACCTACCCGAAGGTGTCCTTTTTAAGTCTTATTTGTTAATATTTATAATAACATATAATCCAAAGTAAATGGAAACGTTCATTGTGATCATATGGGCTTGGGAGACTCATCTTAATAGATTTGAATGGGTGAAGAGGAAAGAACGAGAGCCCAGCAACCAGGGCTTATTCTGCACATTGTCTTGTTTACTCTTCACCAAGAATCCATTTGAGGTAGGTGCCCATGTTACAGATGGGTAAAATATTTGTGCAGAATCACAGCTGGTTAGTGACAGACCAGGATTCAACTTATGCCTCCCAAGACATTTGATGCCATGTATCATCTACACATCCAGCCAACAGCTGTGGAGTGTTAACTCCAAGGCCACCCACTGGTCTAGGCACCTGGGGCAGATTCGTCAGCAAGCCAGTTAATGAACAGTAAACATAACATGTTAAAGGATGACAAGGAAAAAAAAGGCATAAAGGAATCCTGTGGGCAGGAGAGGCTGGGCTTAAATAGGGAGATGTGGTGGGCCTCCAGAGAAGGTGACTTTTGAGCTTAGACTTGGAGGTGGTCAAGGGGGCAGTTCTGGGGAGACTTGAAGTGCTCCAAGTGGTGGGAACAGCCAGTGCCCCTAGAGGTGGGGGCAGGCTTGGTGTGACAGGAACTGCAAGGAGAGCGATGTGGGTGGAGCAGGTTGGGGCGAGGAAACGAGGGTAGATGAGAGCATAGGGAACGGGGGACCGGATCAAGGACGACATTATGAAGTCCGTGGCTTTCACTCTGTGTGAGATGGGAGCAACCCCGGCTTACCTGTGAACAACCTGTGGTCTGCGGTAATCAGGCCCAGTTTGGAGGTCCCTCTGGTGGTGGTGTGCCTGTGGGTCCAGGGTTCGAGGTCAGTATCCAGAGCAGAGGTGGCTGGGTCCTAACAAGAAACAGCTGTAGCATGATTTTGGTCAGTGTTCTGGCCAACCTCCCTTAGCAACCGCCTCTGTGCTGGCCTAATTTTCCAGGCCTTCCGCCCATTCTCTGAAGTACCCAGTACCCTTCCAGTGCTTACGTTAACTAGAGTCGGATCCTGTTATTTTCAACAGAGAAACCTGCCTGGTGATCTGGTACAGTCTGATCATCTAGGTCTCGAGCGTCACCTCTTTGTGAGGCCTGTCTTGACCACCTCAGTCACTTTCTCCCGCATCAGCCTGCTTTCTTTTCTTCACAGCACTTACCATCAAAATCACCTGGTGTATTTGCTCATTCCTTTCTCCCCTCACTAACCTTCATGAGAGTAAGGGCCACACCGGTCTTGTTTACCAAAGCAACCCCAGACCACGACTGAGCGTAGGGCAGGCCTCGAGTAAGTATTTGTTGAATGAATGGATGAAAGCTGCCAATATGGACATTGTTTGAAAGGAGCCAAGTCCATGAGTCTGGGGCATGTGGTTATGAAGATGACGGGTCCAAGCCCAGGTGAGTATGCACAAAACTCCTGTTAGCTCCAAAGACTTCTGGGGTACAGATGAGAAATGACCCCAAGTACCACAGAGTTCCCTGAGTAGGGAAAGGGAGAGAATGAGAGGAGGAAAGGAGGGAGAAGGAGAGTGGGAGGGTGATCAAGATGGCAGAGTAAGAGGATGTAGAGCTCACCTCCCCCCGCAAATCAAAAAATACATCTACATGTAGAACAATTCTCACCAAAAACTACGTGGAAACTGGCAGAAGGACTCCTATACAACCAAGGCTGCAAGAAAGATTCCCCCATAATCCCATCCCAGGTAGGATGGGAGGAAAAGCACCGGGTCGAGACCTGTGCCCCAGGAGGGAACTAAGAGGTACAGGAATGTCATACAGGTGGACATTCACCCTGGGGAGTGAGCAGGTTGAGAGACAGATTGGGCATTCTAGTCCTGCGGTCTTATACAGAGGAGGCAAGGCCCTTTGGCTGCCTGGAGAACAGCTGTGACACACAGAAAGGCTGGAGAAGCCTGGACTGCACTGGCGAGGAGTACGCAGTGCTGGCTTGCCCCCAAACAGGGCGGAGAGAGGTCTGCCCTAGCAGCTGTCACCTTGCCACAGTCTCTGACCCAAGCTGATTGAACCCCCTGGCCCCACTCACTCCACACCACAGCTTGGCAGTGAATCTAGGGCAGCCACATCCTGGAAAAAGACTCAATCTACGGACACAGAGGTGACCCACGGGCCTGGGGTATGGTACAGGCTGAGTGGCGGCCATTGCTGGCGCTTACTCAGCGCCACAGAAGTAGCCCAGACTTCTCATGACAGTGCAGCCACTTCGATTCCTGCAACCACAATGCCATGATCCCCAAGCAAGCACTCCAGCCCCACCCACTCCTTACACCAGAGCTGAGACCACCGCAGTAGGGGAAAAGACAACCCTGATCTGGTTCTGAGCGTGACTGCAGATACCTACACAAGCAGCACGCTGGACATCTGTAAGCACACAAACCCTGCTTATTTCAGCACTCCCCTCCTTCGGGGCAAAGGTTCCAGTGTGGGGAGACGGAAAAACACACACTTGAAGGGAACAGAGCCAGCTCCAGCCCGACCCTCAGGGCTTCCACTCCAGCAGCTTGGGAGCAGACCCCACCCAACAGGGCGGCTGTGGCCAGTGAGGAGACAGCAAGTCTCGCCTCACACCCTACACAGTCTTTGGCTCCTCCAACGCCAGCCGTACCCCGCCCCCCGCAATCAAGGTGGTAGTTGTCATCACATCCTGAGGAAAGTAGTGGGCTGGCATCCACATCAAATTCAACCCACACACCAAAGATCTTAGGCGCACACAGTCTACACAGGGATGTTCCCACGTAAAAACACCCCTTCAAGACCATAACAGATAACTGTTGCACCTAAATTCAGAGACAGAGAAAGTAAAATGAAAACGCAGAGGAACTACTCTCAACTCAAAGAGCAAGAGAAAACCCCTGAAGAAATAAATAATGAAAAAGAGATAGACAATGAATTCGAAAAGTGGGTAATAAAAATGCTAACTGAATTAAGACAGTAGAGGTAAGCACAGATCATTCTACCAAGGAACTAGAAATTTAAAAGACCCCATCAAAAATTGATAATTCAATCTCTGAGATAAAAACACTCTAGAAGCAATGAATAGCAGACTAAATGACACAGAAGAATGCATAAGTGATCTGGAGGATAGAATAACAGAAATCACCCAATAAGAACAGAAGAAAGAAGAAAGGGGGGGAGGGAGGGAGGGAGGGAGGGAGAAAACAACATACAAGTTCTATGGAATATAAAATGTGCCAATATTCACATTATAGGGGTTCCACAAAAAGAAGAGAGAAAGGGATCAAAAATGTATTTGAAGAAATTATGGCTGGAAACGTCCCAAACCTAAAAAGGGAAACATATCCAATTTCAGGAAGCAGAGTGCCAAACAAGATGAGCCCAAACCAGCCCACACCAAGACATATCATAATTAAAATGGCAAAATTAAAGATATAAAGAGAATTCTAAAGGCAGCAGGAGAAAAACAGAGAGTCATACACAAGGGAATCCCCACAAGGCTATCAGCTCATTTCTCTGGAGAAACTTTGCAGGGCAGGGCAGAAGTGGCATAATACATTCAAAGCCCTAAAAGGGAAATCCTGCAACCTAGGATACTCTATCCAGCAAGATTATCATTTAGAAGAGAAGAAAAGAATTTCTCCGACAAGCAGAGACTAAAAGAATTCAGCAATACTAAACCTACCCTAAAAGAAATGTTGAGGGCTTCCCTGGTGGCGCAGTGGTTGAGAATCCGCCTGCCAATGCAGGGGACGTGGGTTTGTGCCCTGGTCCGGGAAGATCCCACATGCCACGGAGCAACTGGGCCCATGAGCCATGGCTGCTGAGCCTGCGCTCCGCAACGGGAGAGGCCACAACAGTGAGAGGCCCGCGCACCGCAAAAAAAAAAAAAAAAAAGAAACGTTAAAGGGTCTACTCTAAATGGAAAAGAAGAATCTATAGGAGAGGGAAAATCCCAATAGGCAAGGCAAATATATAGTAAGGATTAAAGATCACTTAAATAAGCCAGTTCTTAGATTTTTTTTTTAATTTTAAAAAGCAACTACAATAAACAGTAAAGGAATAAGCACAAAGATATAAAATGATATCAAAAACTCAAAATGTGGGGGAGAGGAGCAAAAAATGTAGATCTTTTAGAATGTTTAAACTTAAATGATTATCACTTTAAAGCAATTAGATATAATTATGGGTCAATATATATGAACCCCATGGTAACCACAAGTCAAAAACCTACAATAAGGGGCTTCCCTGGTGGCGCAGTGATTAAGAATCTTGCCTGTCAATGCAGGGGACACGGGTTCAAGCCCTGGTCTGGGAAGATCCCACATGCCATGGAGCAACTAAGCCCGTGCACCACAACTACTGAGCCTGCACTCTAGAACCTGCAAGCCACAACTACTGAAGCCCGTGCACCTAGAGCCCGTGCTCCGCACAAGAGAAGCCACCGCAATGAGAAGCCCGCACACCGCAATGAAGAGTAGCCCCGACTCGCTGCAACTAAGAGAAAGCCTGTGCGTAGCAACAAAGACCCAATGCAGCCAAAAATAAGAATAAATAAATAATTTTTAAAAAAGAAAAAAAAATCTGCCTTCCAATGCAGGGGACGCTGGTTCTATCCCTGGTCAGGGAACTAAGATCCCATATGCCACAGGGCAACTAAGCCCGCACACCACAACTACTGAGCCCACACGCCGCAACTAGAGAAGCCCACGTGCAGCAACAAAAGATCCTGCATGCCCAGTGAAGATCCCACGTGCCACAACTAAGACCTAACGCAGCCAAATAAATTTAAAAAAAAAAAGACAAAGTGAAGGGATGCAAAAAGATATTTCATGCAAATAGAAACAACAAAAAAGCAGGGGTAGTGACACTCATATCAGACAAAATAGACTTTAAAACAAAGGCTACAGACTTCCCTGGTGGCTCAGTGGTTAAGAATCCGCTTGCCAATGGAGGAGACATCGGTTCAAGCCCTGGTCTGGGAAGATCCCATGTGCTGTGGAGCAACTAAACCCATGCGCCACAACTACTGAGCCTGCGCTCTAGAGCCCATGAGCCACAACCACTGAGCCCACGTGCCACAACTACTAACACCCACGCGCCACAACTACTAACACCCACGCACCTAGAGCCCATGCCCCGCAACAAGAGAAGCCACCACAATGAGAAGCATGCACACCACAACAAAGAGTAGCCCCTGCTCACCGCAACTAGAGAAAGCCCCCGCGCAGCAACAAAGACCCAACGCAGCCAAAAAAATAAGTAAAATAAATTTTAAAAAATAAAAAAATAATTTTTAAAAAAAGGCTGTAACAAAAGACAAAGAAGAGCATTATATAATGAAAAAGGGATGAATACAAGAGGATATTATACTCATTAACATATAGGTACCCAATACAGGAACACCTAAATATATAAAGCAAATACTAACAGACATAAAGGGAGAAATTGACAATAATACAATAATAGTAGGAGATTTTAACACCCTACTGACATCAATGGACAGATCATGCAGACAAAAAACAAAATAAGGCAACAGAGGTCTTAAATGATACAACAGACCACTCTGAAAAACTTAGAGGAAAGCATTAGAGGAAAAACTTAGAGGAAAGCATTTCCTCTAAATTCAGGAACAAGACAACGATGCCCACTCTCACTGCTTCTTTTAGCATAGTATTAGAAGTCCTACCCACAGCAATCAGACAAGAAAAAGAAATAAAAGGTATCAAAGTTGTAAGGGATGAGGCAAAACTGTCACTATTTGCACATGACATGATACTTTATATAAGGAACCCTAAAGTCTCCACCTAAAAATAAACTATTAGAATTAATAAATGAATTCAGCAAGGTTGCAGGATACAAGAGTAATATACAGAAATCTGTTGCATTTCTATACACAAATAATGAAACATCATAAAGTTTTTTAAAAATCTCACTTACAATCACATCAAAAATAAATAAAATACCTAGGAATAAATTTAACCAAGGGTGTGAAAGATCTATACTCTGAAGACTATAAAACACTGATGAAAGAAATTGAAAATGATTCAAAGAAATGGAAATTTATCCTGTGCTCTTGTACTGGAAGAATTAATATAATTAAAATGACCATACTACCCAAAGCAATCTACAGACTTAATGCAATCCCCATCAAAATACCCATGACATTTTTCACAGAACTAGAACAAACAATCCTAAAATTTATATGGAACCACACAAGACCCCCAATTGCCAAAGCAATCCTGAGATAAAAGAACAAAACCGGAGACTTCAGACTATACTTACAAAGCTACAGTAATCAAAGCATCATGGTATTGACACAAAAACAGACACACAGTTCAATGGAGCAGAATAGAGAGGCCAGAAATAAACCCACATACCTACAGTCAATTAATCTACAATAAAGGAGGCAAGAATATATAATGGTGAAAAGACAGTTTCTTCAACAAGTGGTGCAGAGAAACCTGGAGAGCTGCATGTAAAACAATGATATTAGAACATTCTCCCATACCATATACAAAAATAAACTCAAAATGGTTTACAGACCTAAATGTAAGACCTGAAACTATAAGACTCCTAGAAGAGAACATGGGCAGAACTCTCTGACATAAATCGTAGCAGTATTTTCTTGGATCAGTCTCCAACAGCAAAAGACATAAAAGCAAAAATAAACAAATGAGACCTAATTAAACTTAAAAATTTTTGCACAGCAAAGGAAACCATCAACAAAATGAAAAGACAATCTACAGAATGGGAGAAAATATTTTCAAATGATGCAACTGACAAGAGGTTATATCCAACATAAAGACAACTCATACAACTCAATATCAAAAAGAACAATCTGATCAAAACATGGGCAGAAGGTACTTCCCTGATGGGAAATAAAAACAGAACTAAAAAACTAAAAACAGATCCAGCAATTCCACTCCTGGGTATACATCCATAAAAAATGAAAACACTAATTCGAAAAGATCACCCCAATGTTCACAGCAGCACCATTTAGAATAGCCAAGACATGGAAGCAACCCAAGTGTCCATCAATGGATGACTGGATTAAGAAGATATATATATACACCGTATATATATGGAATATTACTCAGCCATAAAAAAAGAATAAAATACTGCCATTTGCAGCAACATTGATGGACCTAGAGAATATTATGCTTAGTGAAATAAGTCAGACAGAGAAAGGTAAATACTATAGGATATAACTTATATGTGGAATCTAAAAAATAATACAAATGGGGACTTCCCTGCAGTCCAGTGGTTAAGACTCCACACTGCCACTGCAAGGGGCGTGGGTTCGATCCCTAGTTAGGGAACTAAGATCCTACATGCTGTGTGGCGCAACAAAAAATAATGATAATAATACAAATGAATGTATATGCAAAACAGAAACAGACTCACAGAGAAAACTTGTGGTTACCAAGGGGGAGGGACAAATTAGGGGTATGGGATTAACGGATACAAACTGCAATATATAAAATAAAGAAGCAACAAGGATATACTGTACAGCTCAGGGAATTATATGCATTATCTTGCAATAACCTATGATGGAATATAATCTGCAAAAATACTAAGGTACTATGCTGTACACCTGAAACAAACACAATATTGTAAATCAACTATACTTCAATTAAAAAACAGAAAAAGAAAAAAAAAAGAGTGAAAGGAGGAAGAGAAAGAGAAAGGAAGAGGGCTAAGGGGGACTAAGGAGGAAAAGAAGGGAATGGTTGCAGAAATGGGCCTGGGAAGGGCCGAGAAAACAGGCAGGGGTGAGGAAGGCCAGCTCCACTGCATACTCAGAGCCCCAGGGGAGGTGGCAGCCCAGGATGGGCAGAAGATATGGCTTTCCTTATTATCCAGTGGTGGGGGAGAGTGCTCCAGGCAGGGACTGAAGGGGGATCTAGAAACAAATCACACCAGGAGGGTCATGTCCCCACATCCATGGCCAGCAGCAATGGGCACAAGGAAGCAGACCCATGGTCCCGTGCAGCCAGGGTTGTAGTAAACATCCTGATCACTAAGATTCATTGGGGCATGAACAGGCAACGTGTTAGGCTCTTTATGGGACTGTTAAAAGAGATCATCTCCTGGTCAGGAAAACTGTACAGAACAAGTCTGGAGATGGAGGTGGGGCACTGGTGGCAAAACTAACGTAAGGCGCAGAGGCTGTGAAAGGCCCCTGGGATGCATGAGGCAGGGACAGGTGACAGATGGAACGTGGGCAGACGTGCTCTTCTGGGAGTGGGACCACCCTCCATGGACACTGAGGCCCGGTCAGGGCATTGTTTCCTCAAAAGGGCACCCTGGACAGCCCCCAAATCTCCAGGGTGCTCCAGCACCAGCAGAGGCTATGGTGGACTCTGCTCTCCCCCTAAATATTCCACCACACTAAAGGTAGCAACCCCACACATCTGCCCCTACAAGCCCTGAGCACAAGAGAAGGGAAAAGGAGAAGGACTATTTGGGGGCAGGCAATTTGTTCCTGTGCGACTTCAACGTGAAGGGAATCCTTGGGACCTCCCTGGTGGTCCAGTGGTTAAGACTCCACGCTTCCACTGAAGGGGGCTCAGGTTCGATCTCTGGTCAGGGAAGTAAGATCCCATATGCCGAGTGGCACGGCCAAA